TTCTCCTGAGAGGTGCAACTGTATCGTATATGCGACGTTTTGCTTTCTTTTTTTCTTTTTGTTTTAAATAATAAACTATACGACAAAATGTGAGAAATAACAGCTGTCGAGTAATGTTCGCGTAAAAAGCGCCATACTTTCACAATTCCGATGTATTTTTAATAAATAAAATAAATATAATGGTTTAGTTTCCGTATCTCTTTCGCAGTTTAATACCCTGCGGTAGACCTGCGAATAAACGCATATCCGTCGTGAGACGGTCGCATAAATAATCGCATTTATCAGACCAAAATAATTGTTTAATAATTGTTTTACACAAAAAGTGGGTATGCGAATATCCTCCGGTTGACCTGCGAATGAATTATGCGACGTTTAGTTGTCGCAATTATGTGCGTCGCATAATAGAAAATTTTCAAAAACAATTTTTGTTTAAATAAATTCTTCGATTGTACTACGAATGTTGTGCAGTTTTTATGCGAAATTGTTTCGCCTAATTGTCGCAGATTCATTAGCCTAAACTGTTGAATTTTCCAAAAAGTAAATTCTACAAAAAAAAAAAAAACTTAAATATGCGACGTTTGTATTTCGACTAATTGTCGCAGGTTCATTAGCCTAAACTACGTGTTATGCATTTGTTGTGTGTAATATTTTCGACTAATAGTCTCAGGTTCATTTCGCCTAAACAAGAATTTTCAAAAAATTAAATTCTAAAAAAAAATTATTATGCAACAACTATGCGAACAATACGCGACGTTTTTATTTCGCAGAATAGAAAGTTTCCAAAAGGAAGTTAAAAAAAATAAATAAATTATTCTTCATTTATACTACACGAGTGTTTCGCAATGTGTGTCGCAGAATAGAAAATTTCCAAAAATATTTTTTTTTCTTATTATGCACCAACTAGGCGAATAACATGCGAAGTTTGTATTTCGCAGAATAAAATATCGAACAGAAATCCCTACACTACTACTTTTACAGTCGCTTCAACCCAGCCGATAACAAAGTTAAAAAAAAAATCTAAGGACCAGCCAAGCCTAAAAAAAAGCTAGGACGAGAGAGCCGACGAGCTACCACAACACTCAGACTTCAGAAAGAGGAGCTGTAGTTGGAGCTTGTTTGGAGTTCCATGTAGAACTCCAGCATGAGATCGACCACGACCACTACGCTCTCAACCGATGGGCTCTAACGGGTTCGGGGAAAAACTCCTTCGATACCAACCATATTTCTCTGTCAGGAAAACCTGGCCGACCACAACCTAGAGAGGTTGAGGCCAGCATTGCCTCTGACAGAGGGTCGGGCCATTACGCCCCGGCCGCCGACGCGCGTCGTTCCGACCTTCAACCTTCTCACAGTTGATCCGGCAATACCCGAGCCTGGAGGTTTGATCTTCATCGTCGCTGTCTCGCCATATATGTTTCCTGTCGGGGCCACGTTAATAAAGTTGGATAGCGGAATTTCCGCTCGTTGAATTTTTTCCTCCGAAGAATTCGGAAGGTTAGGAGTTCTCAATTCGGACACAGTAATCTTAAAGAATTGCCTCACGGGTCGAAAGAAAGAATTTTTGTAACTCTAGTTTATCTCCGGCGAACTACTTCTCATATACAAGAAAAGGGAAAAACATATGGCCATTAACAAAGAGTTCTGGGGGACGGATGGGTAGTAAAGTGGCATGATATGGATCAAAGATTACACGCTTTATATAGACGGATGAAACGATTTGCGTGCACGCTTTTACTGCCCAGGCGTTTCGAAAAGCGGATAAGACGCCTCGAAATCGGCTGTAACGTTCCAACCGCCAACGGTTTCTAAACCATTCAAAAATTTAAATTTTAAAAATAAACTTTCGATGAAAGATGAAAGATGAAAGAAATGAAAAATAAACTTTCGAGTAGAAGCACGAAAGGGGGTATGCGAGCAATATGCGGTAATTCGCATACCCCATCGCATAACTGAAATAACAGAAAGATGAAAGAAATAAAAAAAAAAAACTTTCGAGTAGAAGTGCGAAGGTGGTATGCGAGCAATATGCGTCAATTCGCATATCCCATCACATCCTAACTGAAATAACTGAAAGATGAGAGAAATAAAAAAATAAATAAAAAAATACACTTTCAAGTAGAAGTGCGAAGGGGTACGCGAGCAATATGTGGCAATTCGCATACCGCCTCGCATAACTGAAAGATGAAAGAAATACGAAAAAAACTTATTATGCACCAATTCTGCGCATAATATGCAACGTTGGTATGTCGCAGAATAACTATTTTGACTAATAGTCGCAGTTCATTCGTCTAACAATAATAATTATTTAATGGGTGACAGACCGCGATTGACCGAGTCGTACATCGAATCTCCGCATATTTGTCGCATACTTTAACTCATAATTTTCTCGCTCATGCTCATACCGGTCGTCAGTCTATCGTATAGTTTTTCGCATATCTCTTCGTACTTTCTGAAGTGAAAAACTTAACTTTTTATTGGGTGATGTGAAAAACTTAGCATGACTTTTGAAATCAAAATAACTATTTCCTCATAATTTTTTTTGGGTGCATTTATTCATGAACTGAGTATGACACTGAAATGTACATCAACATTTTAATTTCGGTTCCATTTATGCCCTTCTCATCCATAATAGCAAAATTTTCACAATCCCGAATCCCAGCACATCGAATTCACCTTTCTCAAATATGATTACACAGATCACCTGCACCGGAGAAAGCAAATCAAGAACAAACATGTATATGTACAAACATCCCAGCGTGAGAGAGAGAAAGAGAGAAAAGAGACGAAGAGATAGAGAGAGATGGAAATCAAATGGCAGCAACAACACGACATCAAGAAAGAACAGGGCGTTTCTGAGCCCAAGAAATCACCCACTGAAGCTAATGGCGATGCATCTGAAGCCGCCACTATTTTTCAGTCGAAAACTAGGGTATAAAAATATTTAGTATTCTGTTGTGAATCTCAAGATTTATGGCTTGTCTGTGTGTGCGCGAATGTACAAGTTACTGTAGTTTATACAAAAATATTGAAAGAGTCATGGTTTAAGGTTTTCTTGTCTAATTTTATAGTCTTTGGAGAATTTGAGGCACCGATTGGAAAAGGTAGAGGAAGAGGCTGATGAGATTCGGCAAGTGATGGCTAAGCTGGAGAAAGAGATACGCGCGGCCCAAGGTTTACTTCATAACTTATTATCAGCGCCTGCTTTGTAATCTTGCTTTTATTTAACTTTTATTTCATTGGGAAAAGGGTTTGATTTTACTTTTTCTGGTTTAAGCTTGTGATATGTGTTTATCTGTAAATTGTGTCTATTTTTTTTTCCGCTTTTAATTTAGATTTGCCCTAGATAGAAACAGTGCCTAATATTTCTTTTTTGAATTTTAGTGATGAATTGGATAAAAGTTTTATCTGAAAACTTGCTAATGGATGGATCTAGTTTGGTATGACGCTAAATATGAAGACCAGATTCTTATGATAAAATATGGCATTCATGCTAATGGATGGATGGATGGATGGATGACATTTGCCATTGTATAGGTTTAGGATTTTTCAGATTCGAAATTCGTTAGATCCATTTGAACGTTTTTAATTTGTTTAGATTTTTTGGGTATATTTGGATGCTCTTTTGTTGTCTTCTCACTTATCTTTTATTTTGTTTATATATAACCTTAAAAAGATATCATTGGTAATATAGTTGCTATACATGATTAGCCATTTATTGAAACCTTAGAAGTTCTGTTAATATCAAACTTCACGTGCTTCTTTAGTTTGCCACAAGACATGTCGACTTGTTGCACTTGAACATGTTTCTATGTCACTAGGCAATTTTCGTCGTGTCAAATTTCTAACTTGACATTAGTTGCTTTGTAATGGGATATCGAACAATGATATAACTTCCACAATGTGTATTGCAATATGATCGTATATGATATGATGCATTTAGTGTCTATTCAACCTAAAGTAACCTTTTGAATCTCTCGCAAGAGTATGAGAGGTCTATCGTAGTCAGTGAGTAGACTCAAGTCGCACATAAGTGGAAGACTTCGCAGGATAAACAATTCAAGTGCCAAAACACATAATAAACCCAATAAAAGCATAACCTAAACTCTCTAATCCAATTGGTTTTGAATGCTAGAAAAAAATAAATAAATGAAATATAATTAAATAACCAAAACAATAATCACTCTGCACTAATGAGAAATCATGTAGAAATGTAGAGTCCATCACATCGGGTCCATTATATATGCATTAGTTCATCTATTATGTGAAACACTAAATTGTCGTGACAAAAAATTAGCAATTTGATTCCTTAACTCATGTACTCGCATATTAATCATATAATTAATTCACCTAATTAATTTAACAATTGGACCGTGTGAGGCAGATTAAGATCTCAGCCTATTTAAATTTGTGATCCAACGATAATATTGTTCTAAAATTAATCAAGAATTTACGGGAAAAAATCAGTCAAAGTGAAGCCAAATAAAAAATAGGCAAATCACATCAATTAGTCGCATACATTTGATTACTCAATTTGAATCATCCTAATCCTAGATATGAATTGTAAAATGAGGTAATGCATGGGAATACATCATGTTCATCAAAAGAAAGGAATTCGCCTTCAATATGAAATTTATAAGTAAAAGACTTACGGTTGGTCAAAACCTGGAGAAACCAAATACACGTGTGTAAAAAATCCAAGCACAAACTTAGGCGAATAATCTTCTCACCTAACTCACATATTTTTATGCGAGAAGAATACATGTCAAAATGCTCTAAAAATAAGTTGAAAAGAATGAGTTCAAAATTTATCAAAAGTGTTCTCTTGCTAAAAACACAAATCCTCATGGAGGTCTCAAAAAAGGAAATAAACTCTGAAAATGCTTCCAATGTCGCAAGACCAACAATCGCTTGTATTATTGGCCACATGCTACTACGTATGAACTTCTTCTATTTTTTAACACTAGAAATACAACCACCATCAACAGGAACAGAAACATAGCACGAACATAAAACTTAAAATCCTTCAAATCATGCAAGTGAATTAGCTTGACTCAAACTAACAAAGTATGATGAAGCAGTTTCTGTGTGACCTGTTCCTCTACCTGAGAATAGACTTTTGTTGCCACACTATTATTGCTTACTTTCTCTAGATGTTAGATTTTTGTTGCTGCAGTATTAATTATGACAAGCATGTACCTCTATTCTATGAAGTTGTTTGTGTAAAGAGATACCAATAGCATTAAATACACAGTTAAACAACTTAAAAATAAACTATATATGTGAAAAGCAATTATTGCTGCCTGTCGACAGAAGAAACTCTGTGAATTTTACTTCTTTACCCCAACAACATTTTGCATGTCTCAGTTTGATTAGTTCATCTAGTTTGAATGAATCAGAACTAAATTTACATCATAAATATTTTTTTTTTTGTTTTATCGGAACATCTAGAAGGCAACTCATCTTAGGAATTGATTTCACTTCTATTATTATGTAATGTGGCACCTTGTACTTTGAATGGTACTGAGAGTGATTTTTTAATTATGGACTCTTTCTTCCCATCTTTAAGACATCGTGGAAGGTCAAAATGGTGGCTCAGTCGTGGCTGTGAAGTTAGAGCCAAAGGAAGAGTCAGATACAAGATCAATATTTGTTGGCAATGTGAGTCTCGTCCTTTTCTTATCAGGAATGTTTTTCTTTCTTTTCACTTCTGTATCTATTTGGAAGTATTTGCGATGATTCTCACATCATCATCAACATCAACATACATGGTATATTCCCAACTGGTTGGGGTCTGGGGGGTCAGTTGTACGCAGACCTTACCCTTGTAATTATACAAGGAGGCTGTTTCCGTAGCGACCCAAGGTGCATTGCGTCGTTTGATATATTTTTTTTTTTTTTCTAGAAACTTCACTAGTAGAAGAAGCACTAGAATTTAATTGAGTCATTTTGATGATTCTCACATATGGTATGAAATATTATGTGCTAATGAGATCGAGCAATTTTCTTTTTTCTTAATTTTCCACATGTGCCTAATACTTACAGTGCGAGAAACAAATGTTGTTTGGTTCATTGGAACAAATTGGACGTATTGTAGTATGAATAGCATAATGAATGCATACAATTATATATTTCTTTCTAGTTTCAACTCCTTTAGAGCTATTTGTTTTCTCGCAATAAGCACAGGTTGACTATGCATGCACAGCTGAAGAGGTGCAGCAGCATTTCCAGTCTTGTGGAACCATCAACAGGGTTACAATTATGACAGACACATTTGGTCAGCCCAAAGGTTTTGCCTACGTGGAGTTTATGGAGGTTGAGGCTGTTCAAAATGCTCTAGTGCTGAATGAATCCAAGCTGCACGGTCGCCAGCTTAAGGTTTGTGATCTTGCCTTGATAGTCTTAATATGCAGAGTAAATATTGCTCATCTTAAATTTGTTTAATTTGGTATTTATGTTTGAAAATAGGTATCTGTTAAGAGGACTAATATTCCTGGCATGAATCACTATCGTGGAATGTATCCAAACCCGTACTATGGCTATGGGTGAGTACATTACGACTTTTTGATTTGTTCCTTTTATTTTTACTTTTTAATGAGCTGTGTGTCGCTTGTGCATTGTGTCACTGGTGGATAACCCTTTACGCATTCAATTATACTGTATATGTTGTGGTGGTTGTTTCTAGCAACTTTTGTCTATTTTACATGTTTTTATGAGCTTTTCAGATTATATAAGCATTTTGTATATCTACATTGGAATTTATTGTCCTCTAGTTACCCAACTGAACCATGTAGTAACTAAAGTACAGAATACACAGCCTTTGTCCATATGTTTTAGTTGCACAAAGATTAATTCATATACCAATATCAGAACCGAAAGGACCAGGCATTTGATAACGGCATATTTTTGTAATTAGGTTGAACTTTAGCTGCAAGAATATTTCTGTAACTAGGTTTAACATACGCCGCATTTTTTGGATTACTCCTATTTGTTTACCTTTGCAATAACTCTATTATGAAAATCTAATGCGAATGTCGCATGTAGAAAAAACTCAAAGTTATTATTCAGTTGCCATTATATGAGATAATGAGATGACCCTTTACGTGAAATTAAATGCAGTTCCATTTGATTGATAATTTAATGTCATCTATTTTAGGAGCAGGAAATCACTTCAATGAATTAGAACAACTTGATTTTATAACTATCTATTTGAAATCTAAAACTAAAATATCCTCATTTGCAGGAGCTTCCCGAGGTTTAAGCGTCCCATGCACTACAAGCCCTATTGATGAAATTTACCTTGTTGTCAGCATGCCATTAGATTGATGCCCCTTTGGTTTTGCTCATACATTTACATGATAAATTTTGTTTCTCTTGAGGCATGCCAAATGGACTACATTTGTGTTTGTTACTTGAAATTGATTTTTAACCTTGATTTGGATGAAACTTGGAATAATATTTCTCTATTAACTACATGCTCTTACATCTTCATATTTGAAACAAAACGAAGAAGCAAAAAGTCGTGGTTTCTATTTTGTCATCATGCCGTGGCCGAGTTGTTTTATACTCTTCATTTTCTTATAGTTTTTTGCTGCCATTTGATTCCTTACATTTGCTTGCCCACGAGGCCACGACACATTATCAACATGTTTTTGGGAATACTTAATTTAGGTGTATATTTGGGAGACTGATACTTTCATTAGTGTTTCTAAACTTCTAGGTGGTAGGCGTCTAGGCGAGATTTAGTTGGATCTTGGGGGGTAAGTGTCAGGCTGGATTTAGTAAGAACTTGGGAACATGTTTGTTAGCCTAGACTAGATAGTATTTGGCCAACAATCTACCCCTAAACATGTGTTTGCTACCCACAATTCTAGCCTGTCGGATTCGACATGGCCCATGACGAACAGTGTCACAATTTTGCATGTTCCGGATAACTTGATCTGAAGGAGGTATGATTCATTTAGTCTGCACAATGACTTACATAACTTAAGTTACATAATTGTCCCTGCTATTTCACTTGAAGCTAACTTAAATCACATTAGTTGCTTCCCTTCCATCTAGGCACGTCATAATTGGCCTGCCCCTCTTGCCCCGCCGAAAGGGTGGGCCGGGCCAGAGATTTACAGGCCCGCCAAACAGTGGGCCTAAACGGGCTATCCCACCGAAAGATCTGTTCTAAGTGTAACGGTTGTGGGACCCAAATATGTAAAAATTATCAGGCCGTTGTTATACTCAAGGTTACAAGATCCAGGCTTTGGTGTCTCAACTCTTGTTGCAGCCGAAGTCTCCCTCAAGCAGGACGTCTCCACGACCAAGGACGATCCATTAGGGCCAAGTTTGTACAACGGGAGGTCGTCGGAGGTTTTCGGATTCTGAGTAACAGGAGGCCATCAAATTGATCTTAAGCTGTCCTGTGTAGATCTATTTTGCCAGATTTGAATTCCTAATGCGTGGGCTGCTGACTGGGAAAGAAATAGAAGAACTATTAATGAAGAAGAAGAAAATAGGCGAATGGAACGAGACATGGTGGGGGAAAAGAGAAAAAAAGAAAAAGAGGGAAAAAGGACAAAAAAATAAAAAAAATAAAAATAAATGGGTGGCTGGGAGCCTGGGAAAAAGGAAAATAAGAAAAGAGCAATGTTTTAAAGGCGTCGCCTAGGGGTCGCCTAGGCGTCCAGGCGATGAAAATATCAGGGCGTCGGGTCTCGCCTAGTCAAGTGCCATATGGCGTCCGCCTCGGCGCCTAAGGCGTCCGCCTTTCGTGTTAGTCGTCGCAGGCGTCGCCATCCAGCCTTAGGCGGTCGCCATACGCCATGCGGCGGTCCTTTTCTTTTGCTTGCATGTGATGGTCCCCTGCTTTATTTGTTTGCATATAAAACAGAGCAGATATCACATCACATGGGTACACTGTTGCTTTGTCTACTTGCACTTTGATTTGTACTAGATCACATGGGTAGAGTTGTAATTTGCTACTTTGTGTGGTGTCCTATGCCTCTATAATAGCACTGCATATTTATGCCTATAATTGGCTATATTAAAGTTGGATTGACATTTGAATTTTTATTGGTATTGTAACGCCCCGTTTGTTTATGAATAATTGGGATTATTTATTTTGTATAATTGTTTATTATTATTATTATTATTATTATTATTATTATTATTATTATTATTATTATTATTATTATTATTATTATTAGTAAATATTTAATTGTGATTAAATGTCTAATTGTCTAATTGCTTAATTTTGTAAATATTATCGTATGTTATATATATATATATAATCGATTTATGTAAAGTTATCGCCGCATTAAACCGAGTCTCATATATTATTTAGTTATCGAGCCGATAGGAATCACTAGGCCTAATTAGCGATTTAATTTCCAGCCCAAAATAGTTTATATTTTTCTAGCCCAACTTGAGATGTAATTGGCCCATTTGGAGATAGAATGTTTGAGCCCATATTAATTTTTCTCGTACAAATTTCGAACGGAAAGATTATCTTTCTGACCGA